AAATTTAAAAATAGCTGAGTAGGCAGATGTGGGTTTTCTTATAGCCGTGTACAATTTGTGACACTTGCACTCTGCCATATAAACTACTGTAATGCTATAAACAGTAATTTAATTTTGCTGAAGGATTAAATAGGAGCAATGAAATCCTAAGTAGGGAATCCACTAAAAAAACTAGGGTTTTAAAGAGTAATTCTTTTAGTTGAGGAGAGATGATAGAAAATGTGAATCTAATACTTTACATTTTTTCCCCCTAGTATGGAAAACTTCTTTAGTAGGTTTGAATCTTACTCTTGTATAGGGTACAAGGTCACAAGTTTTTATAACAGGTTGGTCAATCAGACTTAAATGGCTAAATTTTAATCTGCTAAGCTTATTAGAGAAACAATACTTGTATCACTGTAGTTAAGTTTGTCACAAGTTTCAGTGTAACATCTCTTTCGTTACGGATGGATGTTACCTGAATTTAGATGTGAATTTAGCAGAGAAGTTGTGTTGTCTGAGATTTCATTTATTAAAAAGCTGTGTGTTTCTGTGTTTTGTTTTTGTTTGTTGTTTTTTTTTTAAAACTTATATTTAAGATAATTCAATGAAGATTTTTAGTGTCACATTCTTTCACTGTTGGAGACCTATCTTCTGTTCCAAAGCCAAATGAATTTGGCCGTAGTAAGATTCTTTTTTTGTGGGAGAAAGATGCATACATTTGAAACCAATTCCGCAGATACTAGGTTAGCTTTACATCAGAATTTACATGTTAAAACAGAATGTTTTATGGATAGGAGATTTTAAGGATAGGACCTTTAGCGGAAGGCTACAAACTGAATAGCAAAATTTAGCTAAAAGGCTTTTGTGCTGCGATATAAAAAATGTAAGCAACACCAAAACACTCACTCTTGGATGCTTTAATGGAATAACAAATGTTAGTGCTTCAATTAATAGGTTAAAAATTACTATTTCAAGACAGCTAGAGGAATGTTGACAAAGAGTACTTTGAAATAGTAGTAGTCTTCTGAGTACACTTATTAGCCAGTTTGCTTTACCTTCAGCCTTTTCACATCATTTTTCCAGTACTCGTTCATTTTGCAAGTGGTGTGAGCAAGTAAGGATGTAAAAAAATAAAGACTTGGGAGTTTCTGTTTTGGCTATTGATTTATTTATTTATTTTATTTGCCTTAATTGCAGTATTAATTCTGTGAATACTTGATAACTATGGTATAGCTCATGTACATGACAGAGATGGATTATGAAGGAAGGTGTCCTAAAGACACTTACCTCTCTTTGTTAACAACATACGGAGCAGGATGATGACAATTCTCTTAATAGAACTGTTAAATAAAAATGGTTCTCCTGCATCTGACAGAGGAGGTTAGGGTAGGCAGAAGACACAGGTATGCTTTTTATCAAAAAGAATAGATCTGAGAACGTGTCTGATTTCTGTAAGGAAAAGGTAGTATGTATCTCTTGGTTAGAGGAAGAAAAGGTGCCAAGCACTATTTATGGTCACAGTATATGGGGAAAATATAATACTAGATAAATAGGATTCAAATTTGCAGGACAAATGAGGCTAGAAGAGCTATTTTTGGTATGAGCAAAATGGTTGAAAAACCAGGCAGACTTCCTAAGCATATTTCTTCATTTGTGTTACAAAACTTACCACAATTTTAATGTGTTGCTGAATTTAGTTTGCATTCATGTAGCTTTGCTTGGTTTTGTTAACTTATCTTCATCATTCTTTAATCTTTTCTTCTGATTTTCATGGTTATAGATGTATTCTCTGCCTCTTAAACAATTGCTTATTCCCTTCCCCAGGTTTTTTTTCTTTGAGTTTTTGTGGTTTTTTAAAACCAGGTAACATCCATTAATCTTGATTTTAAATGCTTCTGTTTCTTTTCTGGCATCTGTCCTTTCATTTTCTCTCCTTTTGTTTGTATCGTGAATATCATGTAATAAGAAGGGAAGATATTTACAAGTAATTACAAGCAGAGTGTTATGTAGAGCTCTGGGTCAGTGGATCTGGCCTGCTGAATAATGAGATTGGATGGGTAGATCAAAACGTATTCCTGAGTCACTACATTAGAATTGCCAGTTGCAACAGAAGCCCAGCGAGCAGAACCTGGAAAGCCGTGCTGCGGATGGCCGCTGTGCTGGCAGGGAGCGCGCACGGGAGGATGCGGTGAGGAAGAGGTGATGCGAAATAGCTGGCACGGGTTTCTCATGGACTTGGATTTTTATAAGAAGTAGTTTCCTTTGGAATTTATTTTGGTCTTGTTCGGTTATTTCCAGCTGCAGACCAGGCTTTCTGCTGTTAATGAAGCTTTGTATTGGCATAACTGAGAGACTGAAGAAAATCTTGCTACTTGCATCCCTATTAAGATTAAAAAATTACTTTTCTGTATATTTTGAGTTCTGTGCTCAGCTAGATATTGTGTATGTGTGCTATAAAAATACTTTTCTTCTGATGGAGTTTTGATGAGGCCTGGGCCGGAATCTTGTATTTGAACTATTTGAAGCTTCTATCCACACATCATTGTATTTTCATTTACTTCGTTATATGCCAAACACTGACTTTAGCAGGATAGCTCATTTTGTCAAAGGCAAGCAAGTATAATCAAATCTCCAAAGTACATTTGCACTTCGCTTTCTTCTCCTGCTTCACTCAGATTTCCAGCTGTGTACATCCATAAATTGAGCATACTGTAGCTGTTTTTCAGTTTGACTGTCAACATTTCTGAAGTTTAGGTTGCTGTCTGAAACAGAATTAGTGGTTAATTTAAAGATGATCTTCATCTAGGTATGAAGACAGAGCTTATTTAGGAAAAAAAAATTACTGTGCATCTATCTGCTAGCTAGAGATTGAAAGAGAAGATTCACAGTGACACAGGCAAAACTGGTGGACTCGTCCATCTGAATAAGTCTGTTCTAGTCCCCGTGTCCTAGGAGCCTGGGCCATAATTCTGGTTGCTAATCCCGTTACCATCCGCAGCTTTCTACAGATCACTTTAAAAATGTTCTGTTGTTGATTACTTTGTAATGAAGAAAGCGGTGGGCAGGAAACCTGGAAGCTTTTCTAGGTTCACAAAATAGGACATTTTTCATCTGAGGGGTAGTCCACCCTTTAATACGTCTGAGTGCTAAAGTTTAAATTCTGCCTGTAGCTTGTGCACTCTGTCTTTCATTTTCCGGGAAGAGTCTTTTGGCGGTATCTATCAAATGAACTAAATAGATCCATCAACAGTAAGCTGGTTATTTAGTGGTTGGTTGGTTCATTCTTACTCATTTATGGATATGCTGCTAAGATGAAGCAGCTTCTTACAGATTGCATAAAATAAATTCTGTGGTCAGTAATGCCAACAGCTTACTGGGTGTATTCCCAACATCTCTGTTTGCCATACGAAAACCTTGAAGTGTTCGTGAAAGGCGTACTTTTTAATTGAATGGGGAGTTTATTTCTCAAGTGCATTCAGAGCTTATTCTTTGGAATCTGTTGAAAGGGTTTGGGTGATGATTAAGCGATGACTTGCCAGGTAAAAGCTGCTCTGAAGTCCCACTCGTGAAGTTTATTGTTTGGTAATCTAATGCATAAGTGACTTCGTGATTAATGACATGGGTTAGATGTATCCTGTACCCACTTAATCAGAAAGATATTCTAATCTGTTGCAGTGACTTTTCCCTTAATTATTCCATAGCATCATCTAGGATTTCCTAGGCTCCTCTTGCCCATGCATTCTCTTATTTTCGTGTGATCGGTGATCTGGAGTGATCTGTCTAACTTCGCCTTGACCGCTGAAAGAAGGGGTTTGTGTTGCTGGGTCATCTCAGGTTCTCTTTCTCCTTCTGTGCTGAAGTGAGACTTGTTTCTTCTTTGGGTAATCTGCTTCAGGATGAGGGAATGCGAATAGAATAAAACTGTAGTTTTCTTGATGGCAATTTGTCCTGGCAAAATGACCTGGTATTGCTCTATGGTTTAAGCACATGAACCAATTTTAATGCCAGGTAGAGTGGCATTAGAAACGGCATAGTGACATTCAGGTACTCCGCGTGCTTGCACGTCTCCTTCATCTTAGTTACAGTGCTGTTGATAACTCGTGAAGAAAGGTGCCGTACAGACAATACTGTTTTTCTACTGAAACCCAAAAAAAAAATCACGTGTGTTTGTCATGCAGGCGTCTGAACGCCACTAAACCTCTCTGGGCTGTTGCAGAGTCTTGCTCTGCTGTGGTTCGCCTTGCCCCTGCCTGTGCCTGGCCGCTCCTCGCAGGCGGCTGCCTGCCTGCCGCTGGTGTGCCGGGGCTCGCAGGCCGCTGTAGCAGCTGAGCTTCTTTAGCAGTCTCTCTCTAACAACATTACCGATTGTCAAGACTTGAAAAACACACGTCTCTTGTTTTAAGTACAGATACTTCACAAATGCCTAAGTTGAAAAAGTCCAAAGTCTTAAGCAGATAATGGTTATTAGAGTTTCTGTGTGACTGGTATCTTTATTTTAGATAAGTGCGTGTCTTTCATGTGGTAAAAGCTTTGGGAAAAGAGGCTGAAGCTACAGATAAAAGCACAGAGCCCTTGAATCTAAACTTTAAAATACTTGTAACTTACTTTGACAGCTAATCAATTCTGAAGGTAAGTATTTACATTGTGGAGACTTACTGTAGTATAAAATATTTTGGACAGTAAAAACACTCGTGTTAAGGCGGCATTTGAGTGAAAGCGTAATGATAAATGCAGCCTTTAAAATGTATTCTCTGATGCCAGCTGACTGTGCCGTAGGAAGGTGCTTGCCTATTAAACGCGTCCAGACTGCAGCATGCTTCCGCATTCCTGGTGGCTTCAATACTTACCTGCTTTAAGTGAAAATTCTGTATAAGTATAGAAGGTTACATTTTTGTTATTTCACTTCCATCTTGTCTTCAGCATATTACGAAGGATTGTTATAATAAAATAAAGTGATGATGATTTTGCAATGAGCCCTCAACGTAAGAGTTAGTGAACAATTGATTTGCTTTTGTTTTGTCTTTAGGAGATTCAGTTTTAGAGGTGTGTGGAGACTGTTACCACTTACCTTAGAATATTCGAACTAGACACCAGGTAAGTACTGTATTTTTTGATTTCTTGTAGCTACTCTTTTAAATGCAAAATAATGCTGAGGAAACAAAGCTCAAAGTTTCTTATAGAAATCTCTAATACCTCACAAAGCCAAGCTTAAAACACCTCGTATTTTTCTTGATAATACAATCTTGTATATGTTTCTCTCCTCTCCCCTTTAAAAATGATTTTTTTTCACCCTCGAAAAATACCAGATTGTGAGAATGAATCTGAGACAGATGGACAGGGTGCAGAGGCCAGTGGTGCTATTTCATTTTTGTGATAAATCAATATTTACTAAAGTGTTTTCTGACTTGGTGTTTTTATTTAGACTTCTACTAGTAAATACTGGTTGAGGTAGAATAATTTAGTTTAACACCTGTAGTTAATGTTCTGCACTGGAAATCTTTGAGAAGCTAGTAATCTTAAATTTAACTGACATTATATTTTACCATGTAGTCAGTAACCAGAAATGCTTTGTGGAATACAAATCTTTCTTAAAATACTCTAGTGTTTCCTAAAGCTGAATAATAAAGCATCAACTGAGCATAATTTTTGTAAGAGCTGGGAAAGCATCATTTCCAAGCTAGACTCTTTAATCATCTGCTAATATACTCTTAAAACTGTAATTGCGGAGGGCTTGACAACATTACAGGTAGTTTGTAGTAAAGACACTTGCAGGGTTGGTGCCTCGGTGGTGTTGGGCTGTGCTGTGAGCCTACCTCTCCTTCTCCTGTCCAGCACTTCCAGCATGGCTTTGAGTTTGTCTTTCTCATTCCTATTGTTTCTTACTTGTCCCTTTTGGGGATTTCTCTATTCTCTGTGTTATTGGCGACATATGGAAAGACTGGGAAGCTGGTTTTGTTCTGGTTTCAACGAAACTTGTTTGCAAACGTGCAGTTTGGATAAAGTATCCATTAAGATTAATGACCTTCCATTAACGTATGTCTAGTGGGTAAGTATCATTTACCATGTCAGGAGGTGGTGGATTTTGTCCGTTACAGTGGGATTTTACTTTTTGGAACAACTGTTGACAGCCAGACTCTCTACACTGAAGATAGACACTTCATTAAAATTGTTATCAACACCACATATTTAAAGGTCTGTGCATTGGTGTATGCATTCATGGTGTGATTTTCTTTTTTTTTTTCTTTTTTAGTAACTTAAACTTACAAATATACAGGTATTAAGAAAATTAAAATTCTGGTGAAGATTGTACCCCAATGTCCTGCTGTAGTAGCATTTTTAAAGTTAGCATTGTTTGGTTTCCTCTGCCTGTTCTGATTTTTATCAATGGAGCTGAACAGCCACAACTCCTTCAAAAGCAGTCTTTCCTCCAGTGAGGAAATTCAAGTGAGCGGCTGTGCCTTTGTGACTTACATGGGAAAATGTACAGAATTAATTGGAAATGTGAAAAGTGATATTTTAGACAACTTGGTACTTCACAGTTTCCAGAGGTTTGTTCATGAGTAAATACTTAGTGCTTCATCCTTGAAGTGAAATGAAAAATACCGCTGTTAGCCTGCTATCGGATGCGAACAACACTGTCCGTTGGATTAGCCCTCCATCGCTTTATTGGTGCAAGGCGGTTCTTTCTAGCCGGGATCTGACGGCTGCGATTCAGTGTTGTTAGAGCATCTACTCCCTGTGTGAGCAGTGTCAGTAACCTCCACCCTCCGTCCTGCCACACAGCTGAGCACGTTTTCTTGGAAAAGTTGATTCCCCCTCGCTGCCCCCTTCCAATTAAAATTCTTTGCAGCATTTTGTGGTGGGGTCAGATGAAGTGTTAGTCCTCCCTCCCTGCTTCTGGCCGCCGGATCTGCTGTCACCCTTTTTGGTGCTGGCATTCATTGGGATGTTCTCTGAGTATTTAATTCCCTAAACTGGCAGAGAACTACTCTTTTTTCTTGGCTGTAATAATAGTTTGCCATTTTAATCGGTTAAATACAACTTATAAAAGGGTCAGCAGAGCTGGCAGAAACTAAGATATCACCAGTTTCATGAAACTTCGTAGGATTCTTTTAGGAAGCTAAAAAGAAACTTTGTCTTTCGAAGGTTCAGTTTACTGTTGATGTATTTAAAATGTTAAGGCTGGCTTCCATATATAACCTACCAGGTTTAATCTTAAGTCTTTTCAGCAAGGTGGTACCAATTACACTTACCTGGTCATGCTGAAAACAGTTGCATTTTCTGGTAAAGCTGACTAACGCAGGATATTCTGGTACACAGATGGTTAAAAACTGTGCTGTTTAATCCAGGGGATTACCTTTCTTCAGAGCCTTCTGAGAGGAAACCTCTTCAGGGCATCCTGCTTGGTTAGAATATGTAGCAGATGGCTTGTTTCTGCTGAATACAACACTTTTTTTTAAAAATACAGAGCAGCTTTCAGTACTGTGAATGAGAGCCACATGTAAAAACAGTAGGATAGATAATATCCTAGTTTATGAAGTACTCTGAATTTAAATAACTTGCACCTTTATTGTCTGTTTCGTATTTGAAAAGCCAAAGGTTGCATTCCTAGTAATAATACTCTTCTGTTGCCTTAAATAACAAGCTTTCCAGATGAATTCCCATTACCACCTTGTCCTCCACTCTTCTGCCAAGGCCAACATGTCCATTTCATACCAGTTTTGAAAAACAGACACCCCATTACACCGAACTCCAGATACCCTGAACTGTTCAGATTGAAGCGATTAAAGATTGCAGCAGTGTGGAATTTTATTCCTATGCCTGTCTTTATTCTTGACAGGTAGCCTGCAGACTGAAAGACGTCACCTGGATCAAATTGAATTCATTTTTATTAAACAAATTGATCCTAATTTAACAGTGGAGATTTTATTAAGCATAACATAGTGTATACCTGTCATCTGCAGCATCTGTGCACCAAGGGCATGTTGGATTGATTTTAAAGGAAGCTTGTTACACCTAAATAGAGCTACAGACTTTAAACAACACAAATGTTCGTGATGCCCTCGAAGCTCCAGTTTGAAGCAATACCTTTGGAGGAACTAAGTTAACATGTACAATCTCAACCAGGATGCTTTATTTCCCCCTGCCTCCTGACTTCAGATCAATCCCCCAGGTCCCTGGCAAAGAGCAATAGCGATAGACACGCTCCCCTTGGCTGGATGCTGCTAACGGGTGACCGGCGTGATAGAGCTGGAGGAGAGCGTCCTAGGGAGGCTGCGAGGAAGCGGTGCTGGTGGTCGGAGAGCAGGAGAAGCGGTGTGGGGGAGCCAGGGCAGCGGTCAGCGCAGGCCTGTGCGATTAGCTAGATTACCAGATAGACGTCAGGATCATCAGTCTTTGACCTCAGCAGTGGGACCGCTTGGGTGGAGGGGGCTGGGAGGCTGCGGCCAGGTTGACCCGTAGCTGCGGACGGGAAAAGGCCGTCGTGGAGGGTTGTGGCTGGTGTATTCCTGGATGTGGGTTTCTTTCCTGAAATATTTTTTTTTCGCCTTTCCCTGAATCAGATTGTGCCCAAATAAATGAATCGGTTGTATTGTGTCTTGCAGCACTTAATAATTTTCGTCTCATACAGAAACTTTTGATAGCTGAACAGTATGCTTTAAAAGAAAAGAAAAGGTTTTCTCTCCCTACCCACATACTCACCTTCCAGATTTGGGGCGTATTTTGAATTCTTAGCCAAAGCATTAGGATTTAGACCTTTTATTATTATTAATAATAATTTATAGCTTCCTTATTAGATAGCCTTTAATTAAACTTACCAGAGCTGCCAATGACGACTTGAAGGAAATTAGATGAGGGTTTCCTAGTTTAGCTGGTGTATTCCAGTCAAAGAAACTGGACATAGTGCCCAGTGTTAAACTAAAGTTGGAGAGGCCAAATGCAGAAGAGTAGTGAACAGTAGGTTCTGAGATAAACAAGAAAGTTGTAATGTCTATATCCACGTCCTTGCCACCTAGTCACACTTGTACAGGCATGACGATACCAACTGTTTGTTGGTACAAACAGAACTGTGTTTTTTGTGAAGCGTATCAGCGCTGTGAGGTCACACCAAGAACCAGGCAGTGCAAGATGCGACGTCTGAGAGTATTTCTTGCAGGTAGACTTTTAAAAACTGAAGTTATTAACTTTGTTGTATAAGATAAAGGATTAAATTAGAAAAGTCTGGTGCTTTAAATATCTTTTTCAAAGACTACATAATCTGGTGTAGGCTAACTGTAATGACATAATCCAAAAATAGCCAATAGTCTTCTCTTCGATGCTCATCCTTGCTGCAGTTCTGCAGCTAAAGAATGGCAAATGCTAATCTCCTCAGGATGTTAGAGGACATAACCATGTCTGTCCGTGGCACGGCACAGGAGAGGCCTCTAGGGTCTTTGACGTTTGAATTTGGAGCAGGAGTTAATTCACATCCAAGTAGCACGATTTTAACTAGAGTACATGTTAAACATTTGATCCACGACTTTAAATTACGCGAGGGGAGATCTCCTCTCTAAGTGGGCAGGCATTCCCTCTTTCACAGTGGGATGCACAGGCCTAGTCAAACTGGGTTTTGTCTAAAGGATTCTGCTCGACCTGGTGTCAGTGATAAGACGGGCGGCTGGGGTTTCGGGAGGTGCGTGGAAGTTTGGGTTTTTTTTTTTTTAATGTAACAGAATGTCTGCAATTGAAAATACAAATGAAATAACTTACACCTGTGGAAGTGTGGTGCAAAAAGGCAGCCTCAACCATAGCAATCTTTTGTCAAGTTGGTTTTACAGGTATTATCACAAATAAATTATCTTAATATTAAGACTAAGAAAGAAGATGAAGTAGCTTTAGGGATGTGTATGTAGTATATATCTATAGCTATACCTCAGCTGTTGATTTTGGGTTTTTGGAAGGAAAAGTTGAGCCTATACAGTAGTGATTCTAGGGTGTTGTGCTGAAAACATAATAGTTGTTTTCACTGATCATTTGCTGAGTTTTGTATCTGTTTAACTTCCACATATGTTAAGAGCCTTTTCTTTTCAAAGCACATTTAAACCTTACAAAAGATGAATTTTCATGTGGAAACTCTGTTTTCAAGGCTGATGTTATGAATGAGGTCTGTGTTGTTCTTCGTTTAAGCATTTCTTAATCTCTTTTTTGGCAGGGCCCGGTTCTCTCTTCAGGTTAGTTCAAGATGGCAGACCAGAGGCAACGTTCGCTCTCTACCTCTGGAGAATCGTTATACCACGTGCTGGGGTTGGACAAGAATGCCACTTCGGATGATATCAAAAAGTCATACAGGTAAAGGTTCAAGTTTTATGCGTGTTGCCCAATAGCACAAATAGCTTTAATTAAGTGTTTGATAGATGGCATATTTATTTATAGGCTCCAGTTGGTTTATTTAAACCTTTTGCAAGAAAAACATGTAAGAAAACCAGGTGAAAACATGGTTGATTCTTGCAAAAATTGGTGTGAAAACATGCCTAGACTTTGTATATAAGTGCTGTTAAATTTTCACATCTCATCTCTAGTAAGTTAAATTCTCAAATATGCAGTATCATTCTGAAAGGTCTTTATCTAAAGTTGAACAGAGTTTTAAGACAGTGTGATCAGAGTTAAATTCTTCATGTTACGTGGCCTTGTGCCTGGCTTACAGAGACCACAGATGTGCAGTATTGCCCTTTTGTCCATTTCCAATTCTGGCACAGTGAGGTGTAGATTAAAGATGCAAATAAGGATGAAAACTGAGTATCAACAATGACTTTTTTCTAAAAATCCATTCAAAATTTCTTATTCTATGTGGAGTTACTATTTTAAAAGAGGATTTTTTTTACTTTATTTCTTTTCTTAAAGAGTTAGACACATGAAGTGGCTTCACATTGACCAAATAAAAACAAAGAAGGAGTCCTGTAACATCCTCCCTTCCCACATTCCCCCAAAATCTGCTTATATGCAATTGCTTCTTTACTTGAAGCATGAGCTACGTCTTGTACGACTATTTGACAAGTGGCAATGTATTCAACATTACACTAGGGGTCAGTAGTAATCTTCACTTGAGGCTACTCTTTTTTGAAGTTGTTTTCTTTTAGTCTTTAACATTTAGCAAAATTTTTACCTTTCAAAGTTACATCTTAATACTGATGGCAACTACATGGTGAAGTCTATGAATCAACTGGATCCCCAGATTCTCACAAATTAGCTGTGTCTTCCTACAACCTTTAAGTGGAAGTTTGAATTGGTAATCTTCAAGACTTAGCAACTGGAAAATAATTTTACCTTCTTGGGGGAAAAACTGCAACAGTTTTTCCTTTGGAGGAACAATCCAACTAGATCCTAGGGTGAAATCTAGCTGCTTTATACTTACCTGAACCTTCATCTAATCTTGTTTCCTCTGCTGCTCCTTTACAAAAGGAGGACTGACACCTCCTGTTTTCATTCCATTTGAACATCCTTTGCTGGCCTGTGGGCTATGGGGTTTGTGTATGTGTAGGAAATGGGAAACGAAAAATATTTATCTGTTGCAGACTGATAGTAGCTAAGCCCTTTCCAGGTTTATATAACTTCCCTCTAATTATAAAACCTGTGATTATTTCAGTCCTCACTGAGGTTATGGCATTAGTGGCAACCCTGGACGTTATATACCCAAACAACATCATTTACAGTTTGAGTATTTCAAGTGCACACTCAATTTATTGTTTGAACGCTGTGATATACTTGCATGCATGTCCAAATTGCTTGCACAAATCTTTACTTTATGTTTGTCTAAATATCTCCTCACTGCAAAGTTGTCGTGTAAACGTCTGCAGGCTTCTAGTGTATTTCTCAAGTACGGGACTTTGTGGTAATCTTCTGTTGTAGGAGAGGTACCTTTTTTGGTGGAGGAGAACTGTTAGCATTTTCTGTATCATTTTTCTACTTGAGAGCACAAATGGCTCAAATGGCAAAACAGCAGTTTTTCTGTTTATAAGGAGGTGTTTGGCCAGTTATTTCTATGATTTCTGTAAATAGCCTGGGCCATGTCAGAACTAGCAAATTTGTCAGTGCTTAATCTGAATTTTTTTTTTGTGTGTTCTATGTTCAGAGATCTCTGGGGACTGTAAACTGCTGTCATGTAGTTGTAAGAGATCTAGTATGATTAAGGGAGGTACGTTGTGATTTCCTGATACCTCGAAACTCTGAAGCTTTTTCTATTCTAGCAAGCCTTGAACTGAAAAGTACTTTGTTCCTGCACAGGAGTTGGTGAATTAACCACAAGTGATTGTCTATTCTATTTTTGTGTTCAGACACTACAGACTAGCTGTGGCAGCTTGCTTTTATTTATTCTTTGGTACTGTATCTTAGACTTGTGGTGTATCTTTTTTCTGTTAGCTTGGTCTTTGCTTTAGCAGGAGCAAAACTTACCGGTGGAAATTGCTGGAGCTGAGAGGTGAAAAAGAGCACTACTTTTCTTCAATGTCTCTCTTTTTTTCCATTGGATTTCTGAGGGCCAAATCCAGCAGTCTGAAGTCAATCCTGTGAACGAAATTAGACAGTGCTGTAGCCTTTTGTTATCATCTAAGGAAGAATCATCAGGGAAGTTGAATCACAGATGAAGGAAACCAACTGGAACTTGAAAGTCTCCCTTGAGTGACAGGCTATGGAATTTAAAAACAAACAAACAAACGAAAAACAGGAACCCAAATCCTAGTTTTTAATTTATAACGATCTCTTTTTTTCTTTCTGCAGGAAACTTGCATTGAAATATCATCCTGATAAAAACCCTGATAATCCAGAGGCAGCAGAAAAATTTAAAGAGATCAATAATGCACACGCAATATTGACGGATGCCACAAAGCGAAACATTTATGATAAGTATGGTTCTCTGGGTCTGTATGTAGCAGAACAGTTTGGTGAAGAAAATGTGAACACATACTTCGTGCTATCCAGTTGGTGGGCAAAGGTAAATAAAAGTGCAAAGAGAAGTTATTCTGGATTGGCATTTAAAACTCTTAAAGAGCTCCATTTGATAATTGTGTTTGGTTTTACTTTTGGAAATTGCTGGATTTCTGACACCTTGTAATTAACCTTCTCTTACTGTGTGGCAATCTCTAGTTCAGAAGTATTTTTCTATTATCTTTCAGTGATACGGGCCTAATAAGCAAGACTTACATTACTAAGAGAAGCTTGGACCCTTCTAGTGGATTTAAAAGTGATGAGGATTTGGGGGGGTATTCTCTCTGGTAATATCTGCTAAACAATTTTGCAGAATGAGTCCTGACTGTGAACTTGAGTTCACAGGGAAGATCCTGTTTAGAAGTATGCTTACAAACTTACTCAGAGGCTTCCCTGAACAAATGTCACTTCTTCAGCTCTTCTCTGATTTGAGAGACTCCAGGTTATTTGTTCGCTTGCCCATCCTTGTTTCTTGTGCAGCAGGAAGAGTATCATCAGTGTACCAAAATCACACTGCAAGCTCATGTTTCCTCACAAATGCATGCAAAAAGCTGTTTGAAAGTATTGCATGCATGCGGTAGATGTACCAATTATTGTATAGGTGCCTTCTAGGAGTCTTCTGCCAGTACCAAGAAATTACTATATTTTACTGGAATTGAATTATTTTTAAGCGTAATATGCTTCTGTCTTTTTAAGTAATACATTTTAAAATCACCACATTTCTCAAAAGTGCAAAAAAGCCATACGTTGCACATCACACATTTCTCATACTGAAATTGTCCAGGCTTTTGCGTTTCAGAGTTCATGTGACTGCAGCCTGCTTGCACAGAAAGTAATAAGTAAAAGACAGTGTGACTATGAAACTGAAGTATGAAACCATAACTGCACCAACTTACTTATTTAGTGACATGACGTTGTTCACGGTGCTTTATGACTGATTTAAACCTTTTCCTAGTCTTGGCATTTCGTTTCATAGGTTCATTTTTCTACCCTTTGTCAGCATTGCCTCCATCTCTTGATTCCCGTGCTGTAAGGGAATGGGAATATCACTGTGCTGGTTTGCTATTTTTAAAATTATTTCTTCAGTAATTTTGAAGAAATAATAAATATGAAAATTTTAATTTTGCCCATTGTCACTGCGATAAGCACCTGGCAGACTTGGCTAGCTTTGAGTTGCCTTGCTCACGTATTAGTAGCGTCTAACCCCAGCACCCCAAACTTCAGTAAGGTGAGCGTTGCAGCCATGCCTGCAGCCAGGGTAGGTTGAAGTCCCTGCCATAGGTAGATCACGACCCGTACATCAACTAGCTAGCATAAATCTTTTCCAGGGTTATTTATGCAAGCTACAATCTGTCCTAAACTATTGTACCTCTGGATTTTAGTACAGATACACTTCTTAGACCTGTATCTTCTTGCAGATGTAGCAGAATAGTCCGCTTAAACCTAAATTGTAGGAATTTCTTCAAGTAAACCAGGTTGGCAGCATTCACCGCAGTGTAAAATGTTCATAGCAGTAGTCAGTTTACATATATTTTTAAATATATCTTGGCGATGAAGTACAAAAAAGAAATGTAGCCAGTAAGTTTCTGTCTTTACATTGCTGTATTTTTGCTCTCTGGTTTCCATATCTGAGTCTCACAAACTCAGTGGTCATGCGTGGTAGGCTCAGGTTATGAATATTTTTTTGTCTTCTGTCCTCTGCAGGCCTTGTTTGTGTTCTGTGGGCTCATCACAGGCTGCTATTGCTGTTGCTGTCTGTGCTGCTGCTGTAATTGTTGCTGTGGGAAGTGTAAACCTAAACCTCCTGAAGGTGAAGAGCAGGAATACTACGTCTCTCCAGAGGACTTGGAGGCACAGTTGCAGTCAGATGAAAGGGGTAGGTAAAAACACTGTGAGATTTCCAGAATGACTGTGGCATCAGTCTCTGCCCGAGTGCTTAGTGTGCTGGTTAAGGAGCACCGCTTGTTTTGTAGAGATCAGCACAGGTCTCGGGTTGTAGATGATGGTGAGGGAATACTTGTGCCACAAGAGTTACGTGGGTAACGCTAACACTGGAGATACAGTTGCTGAAAACTTCCGGAGGGTCTTCATTGAACTTGGGGTCAGCTTCAGAGCAGTAGGTCACTATCATTTAGCTTCCTTCCCACATCACTGGAGTAACATTACCAGTATGTGATTCCAGAAAGGGGCTCTTTTACCCCAAAGGATGGGGGGTGTCAAGGCATTTCTGTTAACTGCGTTGGGCGTAAAGGAAACGGGACTGCTACCCTAGTAGCTCTATCTAATACTGTTTATGAAGATATAATGCTATTTCCGTAGAATTGAACCGATTATTTAAAAAAAATGTAGAGCCTTGTGTGTGCTCTGATCATGTTTTTAATGGGCATTGCTGAATGGTGGGTGACGATCAGCTGCTCTTGCATGAAGAAGGAAATATAATAAATGTTCCACATGTAGACTTGAGTCAAATGTTATTGTGTGCAGACTGAAAAACAGTAAATTAACATCGTGCTCTTAGAGCAGTGTAAAATTGTGTTATCAAAGTGTTGTAGGGAGATGTAATTTATGCTTACCAAAACATACGACGCTGGTTTTTTTTCCCCTTGGTGTGCTAAACCTTTTGTCTCACTTTTCAGAGGCCTCAGACGCACCTATTGTGATACAGCCAGCATCAGCCACAGAGACGACCCAGCTCACAGCTGACTCTCACCCCAGCTACCACACTGATGGATTTAATTAAGTTAAGGAAACACTGTAATTAGAATGGATAAAAAAAATACATGGCCAACTCAACACTAGAATCATGAACATTAGAAGTAGGGAATGGGGAGGGGGAATAATTCTGCCACAGCAAGAAGGCAGCTTTCCAACCTGCCGAAAATATTTTGTAATCCCGTCAGCCTTTTGTCACCTTTCAGTGTCGTATCTTGATGATACATGAAGTGCTGTAGCATGCAGTATTTAAAGCAGTTTAGCTACGGTCTTATTTGTTTCCTTTCTTTTTTTTTTTTCTTGTTTTTTTTTTTTATAGCATGTATGGAGTTACGTTAAATGTCTGTGGTGTAATGTATTGAGTTGTCACAATATAAGTATGATGGAGACATTCTGCATTTTAAGTGGTGGTACTGGCCTAAAAATGAGATTTAAAAAGAAAAAGCTTCACAGAAGCCACCATTCTTCCATACAGCTGAGCTGTCGAAGACCTTTAAAAGTTCATGATTTTCATTTGAGTGCAACAAACCACTTCTTTTATTCCTCCTTCTATTCCTGCGTTGTTATCTAAGCAAGTTTACAAAGCCAAGAACCAAAAAACGCCAGTCCTGCAGAGCTGGAATTCTCTTTAATGCTGGTTTTCAGCTTAAATAAATCTACCTTGAAAAATAAGAAGGGAGAGTTTCCAATCTTTGAATAGTAAATTGATGAACAGCTCTTTATGTGTAAGGCCATCTTCAGTGACAACGTAACCGCAAACTGTAGTTTGTTACAAAACCAACTGTGAATGGGCTTATTTGGTGGTGGCGGTGGGATTTTAACTTCAAGCACAATGCTGTTTTGGTTTGAGTGCAGTCGTTTTCCTGAAATGCTAAAGACCAAATAGTGTAGCTTTTTTTGAATGCATGAGAATCTTAAAGTGAAACTGGTTAATTGGTTTTCACTGAGCAAGTGAGTAAAATGCAGACAGTAGGCAACAGCATAAATGTTTAAAAAAAATTGGGTCTTAAAAATTTGTTCTAATAATTTGAGATTCTAATAGACAAATGGGGTAATAAGTGTCTTTTTTTAAAGCTTTTATAATACACTAGCCCTTTAATTTTCTCATGAACATCTTTGTGGAGTACTTAAATGGCTTTTTAAGAACACAACACCTTTGTGTTTATATTGTATAATTTGCACATTGTCTTGCATTTAGACTTGTTTATACCAGTGTTTTTCTTTTCCTCAGAACAACTATGGGGAAACCATTGAAAGGTTTCCTGTACTGTTTTGAAACCAAATCATGTTTGAATACTGCTCTAGAAACTGTGGTTCACTGAGATTTAACTGTTAAAAAAGCATTTTAGGCAGCTGCTGAATTGCTGTTACATTTTGTTGTTAATAATCTTGCTTTAGCTGATACGGAGTCAGGATCTAGAACAGCTATCAGAGAACCTACACTTGGCACTTTTAGCGGCTAATTACAGCCTCTTTAATTTTGATCTTTATGGTTTTATATCACAATGCCTCTACTGTCCTTTGTATCCCCCATCTCCCCTTTTTATTTTCCGCCTATTTCTGTTGAGAGGCTATTTACAGCCTTCCGCCCGGTGTTGCTTTGAAGGTCTTTCATGCTGCTCTGGTACAAGATCCAGGTGTTACTTTTGAACGGGGTAAAGCAGTGTCAGTCTGTAAGAAAACCATCAGAAAATGAAGGGGACTCTTCTGCCAGAGAATCGTTCTGAATACATTCTCACGCTGTTTTTGCACGAGCTGAAAATGATGGAGCACATAAAATCTGACATGAAACAGTGTTAAACATGCTGGGTAGAAGAAAATGTTCTAAAACAGTCTCTCAATGCTAAGTGAGGGATGTTTGCAAAATCAGACTTCCCTGTAGCTGTTGGCACAAGCACACGCTTTTTGCCTGCATGTGAGCTTGGTGCAAATAAGCATGCTTGTGATACCACAACAGGTCCCAAAAATTCAAAAAGAAATGTTACTTTTAATTAACTGGCTAGAATTCAGTAGCAGACTTGTTAAGTCATTTCTTCCTTGTTGATAGTCCTTTTAGACCTGAAACTTGGTGGTTTACTGGAAGATACTTTAAACTTTTTCTGTCTGGAAAACTCTCTTGGGTGGCGTTGAGGAGAGTCGTGTATGATTTGGCTTGAGGTCCTTATTTAATTAAAGTCTTTGTTTGACCCCTTGGAATGAAAAGCAATTTTTAGGCTGGAAGAATAATGTCACATTGGCTGTCCTTGTAGATTTTGCCTGAAGCCTGTTCTGGATGTTGAATTGCACGCTGCAATATGCTTGAATATGTGCCGGCTTTGTCCCCTAAAAACTCACTGGTTAAAATTGCCCTTATCTGTGCAAATTATGTTCTTGGTAGAAAAAAAATAGCGTTAGGGTTTTTTTGGCTTTGTAAATGAGCATCGTTGATCAGAGTAACTCGGTAGAATGAGGAAAAGGCTGTTTCCCTTGTACTGTCGTTTGTTATACTCCGTCTCCCCATGTTCCTCTAGACGGCTAACGAAGCCAGTTGTTTCTGTTATTGCTCCACTGCGGAGCAGCTTTGACCCCCGAGGTTGGGGGCTGGTTGCCGGTGTTAATTTGGAATAATACTCTATTTCTTAACCCCTCTGGGCTACTTCCGCTGAACTAGAAAGGCTGGCAGGAGGTTGTGGCTCCGGGGAGGTGTGTAGTGCACCTGGAGTCGCTCCGCAGGCTCCTGGCATCGGAACCGAAGTGTGGGCAGCAAATGAGGATCAGAGGCGATGCCGTTATCCGTGTTTTGCATTGCTTGGGAAAAGATGACATCCAAGATAAATTTGCTGGTTTAGTTCTTCGCTTAGCAAGGCATGCGTTTGAGAGAGACTGCGTTCCTTTCAGTGGTGTCTGTGGGCGGTGTGTGAATAGTAAATTAGTCTGTATGCTGTTATACGCCAGAATGATGTTAGATGCTCCAAGGGAAACTACTCTGAGATCCCAGTTACAGGGAATGGCGGGAAAACACGTTTTTAAATGAATATTCATGGGTTTTGAAACTCTTATAAATTTGCCCATGTTACTCCATAATCTCTGAATTTAAGATTATTGTGTATTACCGTAGTTCTTCTTGAACTATATAAGAAAGCTATTTAAACATTCCTTCTTTAAAACAAAACCTGTGTAATTGGAGGATAAGTAGGTTAACGCCCACCTTTTTTCTGCTCTTGTAGGTAAGGTGCAAGAGTATCCCGGGCTCTAACGTGACTTGCACTTCAAAATGGCCAAGTTGAATGCAAAGTTGTATTGGAAATAATGGTTAAAAATCTGGTGCAGAAGATCACTCAGCAGTTCTGAGCTTGGGCGGATGGAGCTGCAGTGTCCGCGCCAGAACTGCAATAGCATAGTGGTGCAGGCACTGCAGCCCATTACCTGGCTTACGTGCAGAATGTTTCCTTCCAAAATTAAACGTGAGCACTGTTGATCTCTGTTCAGCGTGTTGCCAGACTTAAAACTTGAGCTTTGATTTTTTTTTTTTTGTTTGTTTGTTTGGTTTCTTAAAAGTTGTCTCATTTTTTACGAGTTGCCTGAGACCTCGGTTTCGGTAGTTCGGCCACCTCCATCTAGCTCATCGAACCTCTTCAACACCAATTTTTTTAGCACTTGTAGCTCCTCCTGACGAGGAGGAGTTTCGGGGAGAATCTGATCTGGAGAGCTTCTGCTGGCTGGTGTGACGGACCACTGACTTTATTCCTGAGTTGTGTTGCGTGGAGAGCCGTTCGTAGCTTAGGGTGAGTAGGAAGAGCTACTGCCTCGCTGCAGAGAGTGCTCAGGTGCCATCCCTCCTGGCTGCGGCAGAGCTGCTGGGGGAGGAGGTGGTGCTGGACCCGCGGTGCCCCGTCCTCCCTGGGGATGGTGAAATCCCCAATGCACTGTAGTACGACAAATTGTACGCTTCACTTGAAGTGAATGAAGGGGCATTGCACCCGTTAAATGCCAGTTTCATTTTGTTAGTGATGTCTGTAGGAAATTCTTAAATATTTATCTGTATATAAATTTGTTTATGTAAACCTCGGTGGAGTCTGATAGGGTGTAGATTTCTGCTGATTCCATGCAGTGATGTTTTACAGCCATGTTACCTTTTTAGTCTTATTTTTAGATTTGTAATATTTTTAAACTGCTTTAGATATTAGTGCTCATAGTGTTCTTAAAATGTGATGCTCTTCGAGGTTTGGGTGAGCACAGCCTGCGGTCTGAACAGAAACACCTGCTGAGGAGGAAGGCTTGAGCACGGTACTGAGAAACACCGAGTCCTGCAGCAGTGCTGTAGTCGGGGGAGTACAGTTTGCGACATCCTTCGTGTCACCCTATAAACACTACGGGTGTAACTAGGGCAGGAGCCTGACTGAAGAGATACTCCTCTCCCATCTATAAAGCGGTTGTGTTGTGTGGTGTAGAGGGACACCAGTGCGCTTTTGGGGGGTTGCATCAGAGTGTTTGTACCGTATGCACTCCTTGAGAGAGGTACCCGCTTTTCTCAAATAGTTTGTGCCCTTTGTCTGTCCGCTGCCCTTCGGTGTTCTTGACATTCCCAGATAATTTAGGAAATGCGTTTGTGCTGCAGGCTTTTCCTACCTGATGCAACTGGACATTGGCGTCATGTTTAACAGGAGACTCTTGCGAGGTGGTTAGGGAGGCTTTTGCAGCCTCTGCCTCATGTTAATAATTCTGGATGCTGTTTAAATACGCATTAATCTTAGAGCACTGAAACGTAACCCCCCCAGTACAAGTGTTTATAGTGTAAGGTCGGTATAAACTTAACACGCTTAATTATTTGATGCCGCTTCTCTGTATCATAGTGGAAATCATCTAGTTTGTAGTGATCATTACACCAACAGCTGCTTAAAATGTCTTGAAAGAAATGTAACTGATACCTAACAAGGTGGCAGGAAATTTGTCAGCATTCAAGTCCTGCAAGAACCGTGGTCTGCTCCACGTCCTGCGTTGGGAGGCTTACGTGCTCTCTGGGACTCGGCAAGACTGAAATTCCCATTTCCTTCCAAGAAGATGCTTTCTTTACAAGAAGAAACTGCGTGAGGGAAGCTGTCTGTGTTTGACGTTTGCACAAGCCAAATGCCATAAATCTGGAAGACAAACCTTCATTCGGAAATCAAATGCCAATGTTACATGCACAGTTAATTTTGTTGTTAAAAGGATAGATGCTGGGAATTTCTGGTGGTTATATATATATATATGTATATGTATAGAGGAAGCTCTTATATAAAATGGCCATTCATTCTCGAGTGCTGTTGTTTTCTCTGCTCCCTTTCCCCCACAGCCAGCCATGTGGGTGTACTCCTGCAGTCTGTGAGCAGTTGCTTGTCATACCCTTCCAAAAATTTAACGATCTACTTGAATTCTGTGAGCTGCCCCTTATCCCCACCTGCTCCGGCCGGAGCTGGGCTTTGCCTGCTCCAGCTTTCCTTCGGAGGAAGGAAGGGAACCCAACGGTAACGAGGAGGGCAGGGGCCGTCTCTGGAATGACTTGGACTTGCGCGGGCTGGTACGTGGGGTGTTCTAAATGTGGTCGATGCGCTCATCGCTAGAGGTGTAATAGAACATGTTGATTTGGGTTTTTTCCTTATACTAGTTTTCACCACGTTGTACTCTCCAAAGTGGGACTCGGTGAGC